GCTGGGGATTTAGCTCAGCGGCAAAAGCGCCTGCCTGGCAAGTGCAAGGTCGTGAGTTCGGTTCCCGGTACCGGAGAAAAACCAAAAAAAAAAAAAAGAAAGGGGGATGAGCTCAGTGCTATGGCTCAGTATTGGGCAAAAAAGTGAAACAAAGAAAGAAAAAAAGATAGAGGTTGGCCTTTGCTGGCCTCATATGACAAGCACTTCTTTTCAGTTGTCAGCATTCTCAGGACCCCGTGGCCTCGCCTGGGTATAGCATATCTGGCCCTTAGGTAGACTCCGTGTGTTTCCCTTGCGCTGCATCCCTGCCTGGTGTCTCCATCTGGGTGGACACAGCCGTGGAGCTGGGACGCGGTGAGAGCACACACCGACCCACCGGACGCCCTCACCTTCACTCTCTTGCCCTCGATGTTGAGGGAGCGCACTGTGAAGTCCACACCGATAGTGTTCTGCTGCGTCTCGGTGTAGACCCCAGACCGGAAGTGCTGCACCACGCACGTCTTCCCCACATTAGAGTCCCCGATGAGGATGACCTTGAACAGGTAGTCCACGTCCTCGTCGGCCGCTCTGGCAGCGCTGGGGAGCTGCATGGCTGGGTCGCCTAGAACACACCTGCGGTGCGCACCTGCCAGGCACCAGCAGAAGACAAGACAGAAAGCGGTCATGGCTTTCACAGTGTCATTGTCCTTGTGGGCAGAGCTTGGTGGCGCCCGCCTGTCAGTCCAGCACTTGGGAGGCTGAGGCAGGAGGATTACAGCGAGTTCAAGGGCAGCCTGGGGTACACAGTGAATTCAAGACCAGCCTGAACTACACAGGGAGACCTGCCTCAAAATAAATAAATAAATAAATAAAAAGACCCACTGATGCTTAGATATTGCCAATCACAAGGAACCTGCAATCCATTCTCATGGGGTGGCTCTGACTTCTGGGGGTGAAACCTGACTCTCTGGGCTTCCCATCTGTCCGCCCCAGAGCACCTCTTCTCCGCCAGGTCCCGCCACATTCCTATTCCACATGACAGCTCATCAGCTATTCGAAGCAGCAGAACATTTCCTTTTGGTGAATAGCCTGCGTCACTTTCACTGTGCTTCATATGATATCGACGGGGTCTCTTCGTCAAAGAGGTCATGACAATAAACCTTATCCCATTTCATAATTAGTTTTGTGTTTTGAGACAAGGTCTTGCTTTGTGATTCAGGCTGGCCTTGAATTTACAGCGATCCTCCTGTCTCAGCCTCCTGAGGGCTGGGAGTACAGGTATGCACCACCACCCCTGGCTGATACTTAAATTTGATGTGCTGTAATAACTCCTGCCTTATGACGCCTTTCTTCATGTCCCCCAGGTTTACTCTTTGGTTTTTCTTTATCATAGAAAAGACCAAGTCTATAGCATCACAAGAATGAGAATGCACACAAATCCTGGTTCTGTATGTAAACACCTGGGCTCTGGGCTTCGTCCCCACCTCTCCTTCCTGCCTGTAAAATGCAGCTGTCTGAATGACCCCGCAGACAAAAGACAATCAAACCACTGTTTTCTCTCTGACTTTTTAACTGAAGAAAGCCCTTCTACTTCCGGTGTTTTATTACTGCAACTTGAGCTGAAACCTTCCTTCTACACCCCCTCCTCCCCGCCCCCCTGCAAGCCCCAGGCCTTCCCCCAAAGCCAACTTCCACTTGGCCTGCACAGCCACAAGGAGCAAGCGGGTCCCGTCCTGCCCCGTGACCCCCTCCATCCCTCGCCCCCAGCCTCGCCTTCCTGGGTCACCTGCGGCTCACCTGTCGCCCCCTCCCAAGCAGGTGATGTTTGCTCTGGCGCCTGGCTTCCCGTGCAGCCTCGGTGCGCTTCCTCCAGCCTGCTGTGCGGTGGGAGCTGTAGTCCGTCCAGGTGGCAGGTGGCCTATGGAGTGGCCTGAGAAAGTGAAAGGACGGCAAGCGCAGCCCCGCCCACCGCTGAGCCCCTCCCACCGCTGAGCCCAGCCGCGGTGCCGCCAAGCCAGCGCCCTCCCAGCACCCGGCACAGACAAGACAGGTGACCAACCTGCGCGCTGTTCTCCTCCCTTGTCCTGCATAGCACCGGGGCTCCAACCCAGGGCCTTCACTCTGCGCGACATTCCCAGACCCTTTTCATTTAATTTCGTTTTTAAATTTTGAGACAGGGTCTCACTAAGTCACTAAATTGTTTGGGGTGGGCTAGAACTTGCGATCCTCCTGCCTCAGCTAGCAAGAGTGCTGGGATGACCACTTTGGGCCTTTGTTTTCCTCGGTGACCCTTGTTTGACTGGCCTGGGTTTGGTAGAGGTAGAATAGCCACTTAAAGGAGAACACTGATCTGGGTGTTAAGTGACTTAGTTGTTTAGTGTTTTCGTTTTTGTTTTTAAGTCAGAGTCTCACTATGTATTTCAGGCTGGCTTTAAACTCAGTTTGTAGCCCAGGCTGGTCTTGTACTGGAGGTGATCCTCCTGCCTCAGCCTCCCTCCTGAATGTTGGGTCACAGGTGTGTGCCACCATGCCTGGTGTAAAATGTGTATCTTACTGAAACAGAAAATAATTTATTCCCTGTCCAAGAACATTGTTTCTTTGATTTCTTCAGATAACCTGTATTATTATTTCTTTCTTTCTTTCTTTTTTTTTTTTTTTGTGGTTCTGGGGATTGAATCCTGGGCCTTTGTACTGAGCTACATTCCAGCCCTTTTGCTAATTCACTGAGGTTTCCAGGCTTGGCTTGAACTTTTAATCCTCCTGCTTCAGCCTCCCACAGTGCTGGGATCACAGGCATGTACTAGCTTGTCTGACCTTTAGATAAACTTCAAAATATGACTCACCTCCCCTACAATTCCACCTATACTTCCAGGAATCGTTCTTTCAGGTAAGACAGCCCAGTGCTGGTAAGTAGAGCAAGAAAACGAAACACGCTACTAACTCCGCTGCTGTGGGCTGTGGCTTTGAGAGCCACTGTTACAGGCTGAGAACTGCAAGTGGAATGTAAGTCAAGATCCACCACAAATGTGTGGGCTGCTGCAGGAAGCAACCTCGCTGGCTGTCAGTTTCTAAGAAGTCAGGTGCAAATGTTTCCTTTCTTCTGGTAACAGCTACCGTTTAAGAAAAGGCAGCTGACTCAGATGCAGAGCTCAGAGAGCATCCAGGGGTGGGAATCCAATGAGCCTGGAGTGGTGGCTCAACCTGTAATCCCAGCACTCAGGAGGCTGAGGCAGGAGGATTGCCATGAGTTCAGGGGCAGCCTGGACTCCATAGTGAGTTCAAGGCCACCCTAGTTGGTTATGGAGGTCAAGGTCAGTGATTCTGCCTACCCAATTCAAGTGAGTGAGTGACCTTAAGGACAGAAAGCACAACTCAGGCTGTGGGACAGAGGTGTCTTTAGATCTTGTGATGGTGGCAGAGGTGATATACTGTTCTTATTATGCACATGTATATATGCACAGGTGCATATTTGCACACATACATATACACACATATGCAGACATGTATATGCTTCATTGTATAGATTATCATTTTCACCATTTTTTTTGTCTTTTGAGACAGGATCTCGCTATGCAGTTCAGGCTGGCCTTGAGCTCACTTTGTAGCCCAAACTGGCCTTGAACTCGCAATGATCTTCCTGCCTCAGCCTCCCAAGTGCTGGGATTATAGGCATTTGCCACCACACTCAGTGTACTTTCACCATTTTTTGTTGAGACAGAGTCTCTATACATAGTTCAGCCTGACCTTGAACTCACTGTGTAGCCCAGGCTGGCCTCGAACTCCCAGCAATCCTCTTGCTTCAGCCTCTTGAGTGCAGGGATTACGGGGGTGTGCCACCACGCCCAGCCATTCTCACCATTTTAAGTGTAAAGTTCAATAGCATTAAATACATTGCGTACACTCAGTACCAGCAGAACTTTTTATCATCCCAAACTGTCTACCCATCAAACAATAGTTCTGCCTGCTCACCCCAGCCGCCTTGCATTCCACTTCCTTTTTTTGTGGACATTTATTTATTTTACTCATTTATTTTGTGGTACTAGGGCTCGAAGCCAAGGCCTTCACACCGAGCTACATCGTTAGCTCTTTTAAAATTTTGAGACAGCGTCTCACAAAGTTGTCCAGACTGAACTCACCAGTGCTTGATTTAATTGGGCAGATGCGCGCGTGAATGGTGACCGACGCTGACACAAGGCCCGCCTGTTTGGGCGCCTGCATTTAATTACTGTAAGTGAACACCTCTAAAACTTAGGCAGGTAGTACACTCCGCAAGCAGGTCCTTGGTTCCTATAACCACAAAGGACGGAATAATGATTTTCTTTTTTTTGTCTTTTTTTTTTTTTTTTTTTT